GGCCCCGACTCATAGCGACCCCTCCTTGGGTTTCCGAGGCAGTATCACTACAGAAGTAGGATTGCCCAACCTTCTATTAGAGAGATGCAAATCAAAACAACAATGCGATACCATCTTGCTCTAGCACTAGTAGCAAAGTTCAACAAGACAGAAAATAACAAATCCTGGTGAGGTTGTGGAGAGATTGGAACCCTCAAACACTGCTGGCAGGACCATAAAATGGTACAACAATTGTGCAAATCAGTATGGCGATTCCTTCAAAAGTTCCAAATAGAAATACCATTTGACCCAGCCATCCCATTACTAGGTATACACCCTAGAGAAGTGAGAGCCATGACAAGAACAGACATATGCACACCCATGTTCATCGCAGCACTATTTACAATAGCCAAAACATGGAAACAACCTAGATGTCCATCAACTGAGGAATGGATATCCAAACTATGGTACATACACACAATAGAATACTATGCAACCCAAAAGAATAATGTAGAATCTTCAAAACACCACATCACATGGATGAACTTGGAGGGCATTATGCTGAGTGAAATAAGTCAATCACAAAAGGACAAATATTGTATTAATTAGTCCGTTACTGTAATAGTCAAGGAAATATTTATCTATGGAAGGTCATTTTCTTTGTTGGTTACCAGTGGTAGGAGGGGAGGGGAGGGAATACTGTTAAATAGAGAGAGAAGTTTTGATTTGTGAAGAAAAGGGCAATGTCCAAATGTGAGTGATCAATATAGTGGCATTGAGAAAGAGAAAGATATAGAGAGGTACGTGGAAAGTACAGACAACAAAGATGAACCCTTTTGCGCATATAGTATGGCGTAGTCAGTGAAGGTAAACACGGGTATATGGGTGGATAGATGGGTGGAAAGGCTGAAATGTTAGGTATGTATATGAAGTGGAGAGTGCACCCAAGAACATGTATAGGGTTGGCAGACAATGGTCCAATAACTTTTTGGGTATGATCTAAATTCCCAGGTGTATAATGGGGCTGACAAGGGGCAAGGTTGTAGTCATTGCTTGGTGACAGGCAGCTACATAGAGGGACCGAGTAGTTGAGCCTGTGGGCTCGGGGCCATAGTCACAGAGGACATCAAGCTCAATTGGCATAACATACTACACAAATCATTGTTCCACCTCCTACTGTGGCGAGTAGCAACTGAGATCTTAAAAGCTTGCAAGCTGCTATCTAGATGCAATGATGGGTCGCTCATCGACCAGAGCCAAGAAGAATAAAGAAAACCAAAATTCATGGAAACAATTAGTCCTATCGACTGGTACACCATCCTATCTGCACCCTATACAACTATGAGACCAGAAGAAATAGATGGTTGCTCGGCTACTACTGTCAACCACTTGGAATAGGATATTTATAGGAGATCCTGGATAGACAGGGAGAACAATGTGGAACAAAAGTCAAAATCATTTGGGGGGGGGGGGGGGGAGCGGGGAACAGGTTTGCTGGCCCGATGGAGCCTGGTGGAACCACTGAGACTATGGCCCCTAGCTGCCCTTCAGGTCTGGAATTGAAAGCACACCTGTGGCTTCCAGCCAAACAATAGACAAGCATATCAGTTGAGAATTTACCTGAGGTAGATACACTTCTTGGAGAGAACAAGCATGAGAGGAAGAAGGGCTGCTCAGGCACAGACAGACAGCTCAGGGCGTAGGAGTGCATGGAGGGATGGACACAGGGAAGAGGTAACTATCAGGTGGAAGTGGGAGGGCAGATGTCGCATTGTGCTAAACTGTGGTCAATGTCATGAGACAAAGTGTATGTGATCTGCTGTATGGCAAGTGTATTTGCTCTGTAAATTTTCACTCAAATCACAATTAAAAAAATCTTTAAAAAAAAGAATTTGAACTTCATCATAAATGTGTGGAACACTACTGAACAGCGGAATGGAAAATAGAAATTATAGTGTACAAACATTACTTTGGAGTCTATGTGGAGAACAGCCTGGGTGGAACTAGAAAGTAAAATAGGAATTTAATTAAAAGGCTATTGGAATAACCCAGGAAAGAAACAATAAGGCCTAAACCAAGGCAGTATTGAATAAAGAAGAAAACAGATGGCAAACATTTTACGCAAAAGGAACTTTAGTTGCTAAGTTACTAATTAAATGTGGGAGCTGAATTACAGAAGAGTCTGGGCTTCTGGCTTCAGTAAATGAACATAAATTACAAATACAGGGAACAATGCTGAAAGAGTATGTTTAGCAAGGGAACCACACAGGCAAGAATGCTAGGCATACTGACATTGAGGTAGTTATAGTACATCAAAAGAGATACATAACTTGCATAAGGGGGTCTGTGCAATGGTTAAGTCTTTGGCTGCTAAATGAAAAGGCCAGTAGTTCGAACCCAGCAGCCACAGTGTGGGAAAAAGATGTGGCAATCTGCTTCCTTAAATGTTGTTATTGTTAGGTGGCATCAAGTTGGTTTCAATTCACAGCCATTCTACATACAATAGAAGGAAACACTCCCCTGTTCTATGCCATCCTCACAATAGTTGCTATGCACAAAACCACTGCTATAGCCACTATGCCAACCCATCTTCTTGAGTCTTCCTCATTTTCACTGACCCTCAACTTTACCAACCATGATGACCTCCTCCAGATCCCTTGTGATAGCATGTCAAAGTACATGAGACCAAGTCCTACCATCCTCACTTCTAAGGAACATTCTGATTATACTTTTTTCAAAACATATTTGTTTGTTCCTCTGGCATCCACTGTACAATTAACAATACTTGCCAATGCCATAATTCAAAGACATCAATTCTTCTTTGGTCATCCTTATTCACTGTCCAGCTTTCACATGCATATAATGTGATTGAAAATACCATGGCTTGACCCAGTCAAACTTTAGTCCTTTATGAGACATCTTTGCTTTTATACACTTGAAGAGGTCTTCTACAGCAGATTTGTCCAATGCAATACGTTGATTTCCTGATTGTTGCTTCCACGGGTGTTGACTGTGGATCCAAAAAAAAAAAAAACCAAACTCGCTGCCATCAAGTCAGTTGTGACTCATAGTAACCTCTCCTTGGATTTCTGAGGCAGTTATCTCTATGGAAGTAGATTGCCCAGTCTTCCGTCTGAGGAGTGGCTGGTGGGTTTGAACTGCCAGCCTTCTGGTTAGCAGTCAAATCCCTTGGGCACTATGCCACCAAACAAAATTCTTGACAACTTCAATCTTTTGTCCATTTATCATGATTTTGCTTATTGGTCCAGCTGTGAGGATTTGTTTTGTGTTGAGGTGTAATCCATACTGAAGGCTGTAGTATTTGATCTCATCAGTGTTTCAAGTCCTCTTCACTTTCAGCAAGCAAGGTCCTATCATCTGCATTTTCTAGGTGGATAATAAGTCTTTCTCCAATTCTGATGCTGTGTTCTTCTTTACAAAGTCTAGCTTCTCAGATTATTTGCTCAGTACACAGATAGAGTAAATATGGTGAAAGGATACAACGCTGACACACACCCTATCAGATTTTAAACCACACAGTATCCCTTTGTTCTGTTTGAACAGCCTTTTAGTCTATGTACAGGTTCTGCATAACCACAATTAAGTATCCTGAATTTCCATTCTTTGCAATGTTATCTATTAATGTATTATGATCCACACAAATGCCTTTCCATTATTGTCAATAAAACACAGGTGAACATCTTCCTGGTATTTGCTTTCAAGAAAGATCCACCTGACAACAGGAATGATATCCCTTGTTCCATACATCCTCTTCTGATTCCAGCTTGAATTTCCGGGTTCCCTGTCGATATACTGCTGCCATCACTTTTGAATTATCTTACACAAAATGTTACTTCTGTGCCATCACGTGCAATCACTTTTCTTTGGAATGGGGACAAATTTTCCTCCAGTTGACTGGCCAGGTAGCTGTCTTCAAAATTTCTTGGCATTGACTACAGCCTTGGAAACCTTATGGGCCATTCTACTTTGTCCTATAGGATTGGTAAGAATCAGAATCAACTGTACAGCAACAGCTTTGTTTTCTTC